CCCGCCCCCCCCCCCCCCCCCCCCCCCCCCCCACCGCTGCCGCGCCGCGTGTGTGTGTGTGTGTGTGTGTGTGTGTGCGCGTGGGGGGGGGTTCCAGAGTGCTGTCAGGACAGGCCAGCCACTCATCAGTTGTTTAGACAGGTGTGACTGCTGCTCTGAAGAGAGACGATTTATTTGACATGTTCGTATGTGTACCACCTGTGTGCAGGTGACCACCGAAGCCAGAAGAGAGCATCCTATGCCCACGGAACTGGAGTTATGGGCAGTTGTGAGCTGCACAAGAGACAAGAGCTCTTAATTGTCCCTCCTGCCCCCCTAATGTTTGATTTTTAATCCTCAATCTAATTAATTCTTAACTTCATTTCTATTCTTAGGTTACCTGATTTGGTGGAGATTTTAAAAAGTGGGTTTTTTTGTTTGTTTGTTTTGTTTGTTTTGGTTTTGGTTTTGGTTTTGCTACAGGTTATCTCTGTGTAGCCCTGGTTGTCCTGGAACTCGCTTTGTAGAAGACCAGGCTGGCCTCAAACTCAGACATCTGCCTGCCTCTACCTCCCAAGTGCTGGGATTAAAGGTGTGTGGCACCACTGCCCAGCAGCCGTAGAGAAATTAAGTTAATAATAAATACATCATTTATATAGGTCCATTTGCCATGCCTGTAACCTCACTCACTTGAGACCTCGGGGTCTGTGACAGAAGGTGCATGGTTGGTTATGGGAGGGTTTATATCCATTGAATAGCCTCATGTACGCACAGCACAAACTACCACGGACCTACATTCCCAGCCCAGAAATTCTTAATTTGGGATCTACGATGGGCTTCTGGGGCTCAAAAAAGTGTGCATGTGTGTCCGCGCACACGCGTGCTGTGTGCCTATTATATTTTCTTTAATCCTGAGTGGCCATGACCGTTTTTACAGAGAAAAGCTTCATAGTTTTAACCAGACTGACCAAATGGCCCTATGCTCCTTAAAGGTTCCCAGCTCCCATGCTCCCTATTGACAGGTGTCCAAAGCTTTGCAATTCCGCGTAGAGCCCACTGCCCTGAACAAATATGGCGGGAGCGGCCTCGCACGTAGCCCCTCACGCAGCCCGCCTGGGCCCTCCACTTTCCCCACCTTTGCGGCCTGACCCCGGAAGGACTCCGCCTCCCACAGCCCGAGGCTGCTCCGTGCGGTCTGTGGCTAGGGGCGGACGAGAAGCAGGTGCGGGCGAGCGCTGGGCTGGCGGAGGGGGGCGAGCGCGCTTGTGGGAGGAGCGGGGTGGAGGTCTGGGTGCGGAGATGATGGGGTGTGGAGTTCGGGGTGCGGAGAGAGCTGGGCAAGTGCGGGGTGCGGAGAGCGGGATGGAGAGATCCGGGTGCGGAGAAAGCAGGGCAAGTGCGGGGCGGAGATCCGGGATGGGGAAATTCAGGGTGCGGAGAGAGCAGGGCAAGTGCGGGGCGGAGGTCGGCGTGCGGAGATCCGAGATGGGGAAATTCAGGGTACGGATATGATGGGGTGGGGAAAGAGCAGGGCAAGTGCGGGGCGGAGACCGGGGTGGGGAGAGACCAAGGCAAATGCAGGGTGAGGAGATCTGGGGTGCAGAGAGCGCTGGCCTCTGGACCTTGAGCTGCCTGGGTGATTTGGGGCACCTGCAGAGAAGCCGTGGCCCACTGACTAAAATTGCCGAGTGCGTACTCTACCTGGAACGCCCCAGACATTTTGTTTTATTATTTTTATTTTTATTCAGACAGCGCCCCACCCTGTTGCCCACCAGACTGGTCTGGAACTCACTGTGAAAACGACACCAGGCTCCAGCTGGTGGAAATCCTCCTGCCTCTGCTTCCAAAGTGATGGGATTACAGATGTGACCACTAGCGAGCGGTCTTGAGTTAAAACAGACCTCACAGGCTGCTCTTGTCATTAGGTTATTGTCAGTAACGATTTTTACCGCATTGAAAACATCATCTCAGATGACCAGAGGAGTGGGTGCACACGTGTAAGTAATCTCACCTCAGCACTTGGGAGGTGGAGGCAGAAGGATCAGAAATTCAAAGTCATTTTTCCCTACTACTGAATTGCGAGGCCTGCCTGGCCTCCACGGGACCCTGCCCCCCACTCCCGGGGGTGGTGGTGGAAAGAGAGACAGACACAGACAGACTATTCCTCCTCAGACTTAAGTTGTGTAGATTTCATGCTTAATGTCAAACTGGCTCAGTAATCTAGCTTTACTTCTTGCTTAGAGAGCCAGAGCTGTGGAGTCGAATTTTAGAATGTTTAAAATGAAAACTCGGTTGATGACATTTTCTAACAGGCTGGTGTTTGGAATGGAATGAACGAAGTAATTTTTAGTGATGTTTTAAGATTTCTTTTACAAATTTGAGTAGTCATGAAACTGCTCCCATGTTTATTTTAATTATACTTCAGTGATCAACTGAAATGCCTGCTTTTGAAGTTTTTCAGTTAGTAATGCTTGCATTTGGATTCAGCTTCCTTGGTGATTTTCCGCTTTCCTTGGGGAAATGAAATGAGATATCTAAAATTTGAAAAGAAAGCTTTGTCAAGATTTTTGAGCAAAGTACTGCAGCAAATTCAAATAAGCGTTTTTGTCACCAGACAGTGGTTTTTTTTTTAGTCCCCTGAAGTGTATGGTGTTTTGCTTGCAGGCAGGCGTCTCGGCTCTAGGCACATGCAGTTTCCGTGGAGTCCAGAAGAGGGCGTGGGATTCCCTGGGACTAGAGTTAGAAATAGCTTGAGTCACTTGTCTGTACTGAGAACCAGCCGCGGCCCTCTGGAAGAACAGCCAGTGGTCTTGGCTGCTGGGCATCTCTTAAGTACGGTTGTGAACTGATTTGTACTTTATAAATGCACTTGCTGTGAGCAACTAGGTGCACTAGCAACACCAGTGAGCTGTAGCCAGACTCTAGACCAGTGGTTCTCAGCCTGTGGGTCGTGACCCCTTCCTGGGGTTAAACAACCCTTTCACAGGGGTCACCTGAGACCCCCCGGAAAACACAGAGATTTACATTTTGATACATAACAGCATTAAAATTGCAGCTCTGTAGGAACAATGAAAATAATTCTGTGGCCAGGGTCACCACCACGTGAGGAACTGTGTTAATGGGTTGCTCAAACCATGGCTTTCCCCAGCATTTGTGGGAGGAAGTGGAAGCCTGTAGGCGTGGATGTGAGCACGGTGCCGAGAATCGCCGTCCTTGGTTGATTTTTCATCTCGGTTCCTGGAGTCGGGTTCTCTCAGTCAGACCCAGAACCATGTACAGCTAGTCTTGTTAGCAAGTCTGAGCTAAGCATCCCTGGTCTCTGAATTGGAAGCTAGAACCACAGGCAATGCTCTGAACCCACTCAGAGTTTACGTGGGTTCTCTGGAACTTGGGGTCCCCGCGTGCGTCACATTCTAATCTGGGCTCTCCAAGCGATTCCTTTTTACCTGTTGAACTCTTTGTAGTGGACGTAGAGGCCAGCACCTGTTCTCCGTTCTTTAGAGGCAGAGTGCCTCAGCTGAGCTCAGCCAGCCTGGGGAACAGCGACACCTCATTCCTATCAAAATACGTAAGCACACACGTAATAGAATTTGTTCTTGCTTTCTGAGACAGGGTTTTTCCATGTGCCCTGGAGCTCATTCTATAGACCAAACTGGCCTCGAACTCATAGATCCGCCTGCCTCTGCCTCCTGCGTGCTGGGATTAATGGGGTGCCACCACTGGTCAGTTCAATATCTGACTTTTGGTGTCAAGAATGCCAACTGCTGGTGAGATGGCTTAGCAGGTTAAGGAACTTGCCAAAAAGCTTGACTACCTAAGTCTGATCCCTGGGACCCACGTGGTATAAGGAAAGACCACAAGTGGCCCTGAGATACCCACGTCTGCATACAATAAATAATCATTTATTATATGTTATGTAGTATAGTAGTATATACATGACAGTTGTTGAATATTGTTTAAATGAAACAATGTGAGAATAAGTTCAGGCCAACTACTGAACTCTGAGTTTCCTTCCCATGCCCAAGAGCGTATTCTGGATTCCAGACAGCACCCCATGCACACTTATGTGAAGGAAATCAAAAAGAGTTAGATTTTAGTTACTCAAATAGATAAACTTTAACCAGAAAGAGAACCTAGAGTAGTGTTGCTCAACCTGTGGGTCGTGACCCCACTGTAGTGTCAAATAACCATTGTGTGGCATTGCCTAAGGCCATCAGAAAATACAGTATTTACATTACTGTTATAACAGTAGAAAAATGACATTTGTGTAGTAGCAACAAAAACAATTTTGTGGTTGGAGTCTCCACAGTAGGAAGAACTGTGCCAAAGGGTCACAGCACTGGGAAGGGTGAGGACCCCTGCTCCAGAACATGCAATTCTCCCCACGCACTCTCCTCTCCCTGTAATTGTTTTAGGTTAATATGCAGAGCAAAGGCTTTTTGACTCGGAATCTCCATACATATATATGTAGCGTGTTCTCATTCACTCTGCTCACTGGTAGAAACTTGTTTTCTAAGGGAAACGTTTGACTTGAAGGTGAGGATTAAATCTACTGCATTTTCATCACTGTTAGTGTTTTGGTCAAGACCAAGTATGAATAGCACATGCTCTCCTTTGCTGTTTTGGTAACTGATAAAGGCGGTTTTAGCTCCATTGCAATATCATGCATGCATAATTGCAAAACTGACAGAGTTTAAATGTTTTTATTATTTTTAGTTATTGATGCTCTGTGGGCACCAGAGAACAACTTACCAGAGTCGGTTCTCTAATTTTACCAGAGTTTAACTTTTTTTGGGACAGAGCCTTATTATGTATCTCTGCCTGCCCTGGAATTCGCCATGTAGACCACACTGACCTCAAACCCAAGGAGATCTATCTGTCTGCCTCTCCCTCCCAAGAACTGGAGTCAAAGGTATGAACCACAACACCACACCTGGAAAGAATTTAACTTTGCATCTTTCATCGATTAGAAGCCCCAATGGCTGACGAATGTCTGTTTCGTTGAACCCAGATCAGGCAGAGGAGTCATGTCCGAAGAAACAGTCAGAGAATCACAATTCTCCTTGAAGACGGCCGCACTGAGAGTGTTCGACCTCCCTGTGTCTTGGTACTATTCTCTCTCCCAGGTAAACACTGAAGTGGACTGAATTTGAATAGCATGTTAATATTGCTCAGTGGAATTTGTTTGTGGCATTTGTTTCCCTTGAGGCTGTTCGGTGGTACTGAGGACTTGAACCCAGAGTTTGCTGCGCAGGCAGACAGCCACTGAGCGACCCTCCCAGCCCCAGAGGATGTCACACAGCATAGTAAAATGCTAAAGCAGTTAATGCTGATTTTAAACATTTTTGTGTTTATGTATATGTGTATATACATATTTCATAGTATATTATATATTTTATGTATAAATCTTATATTTTATGTAAATATAGACATTTCATTAAAATAGATTTTATATATATATACTGTATTAGTTTTAAGTTTTCCTTTCTTAGCCGGGCAGTGGTGGCACACGTCTTTAATACCATCCAGCAATTGGGAGGCAGAGGCAGGCAGATCTCTGTGAGTTCAAGACCAGCCTGGTTTAAAAGAGCTAGTTCCAGGACAGCCAAGGCTGTTACACAGAGAAACCCTGTCTTGAAAAACCAAAATAATAATAATAAAAATAATAATGTTATAATAAGTTTTCCGTTCTTATCCAGGTGTGGTGACTACACCTTTAACCCCCGTCGTCGTTGTCGTCTTCTTCTTCTTCTTCTTCTTCTTCTTCTTCTTCTCCTCCTCCTCCTCCTCCTCCTCCTCCTCCTCCTTCATGACTGCTGTGTTTTACGGAGCATATCTTCAAGATTTGTCCACATTGTAGCAGATAATGGAATTTCTTCTTAATATGGAATCAATATTCCATTGTACAGACACACAAATCTTTGTTTGTCTTTTCATCTGTCTGTGCACCACTTGGGTTGCTTCTGTAGCTTAGCCATCTTGAACATTGCTTCTGTGATCCCAGATGTCTGAGTTCTCTGAAAGATCGCTTTTAGCCGTCACGGGGCCACACCCTGTGATCTCGGCTCCAGAGGGCTGCGAGATGTCTCAGTTCAAGTATGAAGACCCAGATTTGATGCCCAGAATTCACATTAAAAATCAGGCAAGCAGAAAAGTCAGGCACAGTGGGGACCCACTGTTGTCTAGTCTTGGGGAGCCTGGTGCTAAGCGCCAGCCCATCCATCTGTCCAGATGAGTGAGCGCCAGGGTCAGTGTGGACAGTGGTTTGTGAAGATCAGGCATTTATTCTTTTCATTTTGTGGGGAGCTGCCATCCATAGTAGGTACGCGGGTTTCCATCCCCACAGCCCTGCTAGTGATGCCTGCTTGTTTCCCCGTGTGGCCATCCTACAGGTCTTTCCACTCGTTCTCTGGGTTATATTCTGTTGTTAGGATCTTTTAGTCTAATTCAGAAATATTTTTACTTTATGTGTATGGGTGTTTAGCCTGTGTATATGTCTGGGCATTGTGTATATGCCATGGTCCATAGAGACCAGGAGGAGGCATTGGCTCCAAGTTGTGCAGAACCCAGACAGTAGGATCCTAAAAATATTTTTTAGCTAACTTATGAGTAAAATCACTTATTCTTGTGGTATTTAGAAATAAGTTAACTTTTTTTTTTTGTTGTTTTTCAAGACAGGGTTTCTCTATAGCTTTGGAGGCTGGCTGTCCTGGAACTAGTTCTTGTAGACGAGGCTGGCCTCGAACTCACAGAGATCCACCTGCCTCTGCCTCCCGAGTGCTGGGATTAAAGGCGTGCGCCACCACCGCCCAGCTATAACTTAACTTCTGTTTGCCTAAAATTCCAGATATGGTTTTTAAAAATGAGCTCAGCTTTAAAGTCTTTCTGTACTTAAACATCTTGCTAATTGTTCATATAGAAGATTAAGGCAGTGGTGGTGCATACCTCTGATCCCAGTACCTGAGAGGCAGAGACAGGCTGATCTCTGAGTTCAAGGCCAGCCTGGTCTACAGAGTTCCAGGACAGCCAGAGCTACACAGAAGAGCCCTCTCCCCCACATAAAGAAGACTCGGTTGCATAGATTAATCATCACTTTGTCAAGAAATGTTCACAGGGTTGAATTATTCTACATATCTACTGACTTTGAAATAATAATGTGCATTTCAAACTTAGATAACTTCAGAGCAGTGAGTAACAGAGTGTTAAACCAGACTGGCTGGGATACATAGACTCTTCACAATGTTTATAGACAATCTAATTTTAGGGATTTTTTGTTTTTGTGTTTTTGGAGTGGGGGTTCAAGACAATGGTTTCACTGTGCAGCCCTGACTGTTCTGGAACTAGCTCTGTAGACCAGGCTGGCCTCAAACTCAGAGATCTGCCTGTCTCTGCCTCCTTAGTGCTGGGATTAAAGGCTAGTTATTTTTTTTCTTTTTAACAAAACCTCAAACATCCTATTTTGCCAATAAAAACTCGGGAGCCAGATGCTGGGGTGAAAGCCTGCTGGCTCAGCGAGGCAGAGAAAAGCACCCCCTGACCTTCCTCCTATGCCATCTCAAACAAGTCTCCAACTCAAAGTTCCTCTCTTCTACTTCCTGTGCCCCTCTATCCATCCTCCTGACTCCCTCTCTCTATGGTTTTTCATAATAATCTTATGTTCACTTCCTGTCAACTGGTTGCTTGCTTCTCCTCTTGACCTATGGTTGACTTTATTTAATCCTGTTTACAATATTCAAGCAGAAAGCTCTTGGATTAGATATGTGCTAGGGCTGGCCCATACCACAACTAGAAACAGGTTTTTCCAGTAAATAACGCAATCTCAGGGCTCACAGTGTCATCAAATCTCCTGCAACAGCTAATTTTAGTGAAAAACTATGAGATTTTTTTTTCCAATCTTTTCCAGATCAAATTCTCCCCAGTAGCTAAAAAGTTGTTTGCGGTGACTGCTGTGAGCGCTATATCTGTAATCTTTTTTGCCCATCACTTTAAAAGAAGACGTGGAAAAAAGAAAGGAAAAGTACTCCCGTGGGAACCAGAGCACCTCATACTTGAACAGACGAAACGAGCAGCGTCGGACAAAGGTTTGTAGAAATTTCCAGATTAAATCTGTGGAGCAGGAGACACTATGTGTCACAGCCGGAGCACCGGTCTGTAGGATGAGAAAGCACAGGGGAGAAAGACAGATGTGTTAAAGCCACAGGGTCCTGCTTCACCGCAGTCGTGGCGGACATTCTCTGTTACACGTCTGTACATCTACATATAAGAATACTGACTTAAAATCTGATACTCTGATACGTGTCACAGGGTGGTGGAGGCGCATGCCTTTAATCCTAGCTTTTGGGAGGCAGAGGCAGGCGGATCTCTGAGTTCAAGGCCAGCCTGGTCTACAGAGTGAGTTCTAGGACAGCAAGAACTTTGGTGCCACATAAAGGAACCTGGTCTTGAAAAACAAAACTAAATAAAGCAAAAACTACATGTCAACAAATCATATAGTAAAATAAAGTGTGAGAGGCAGGAGAGATGGCTCGTCCGTAGAGCTTGAGAGCCCGCCTCACAGAACTGAGTTCCATCCTCAGCATCCAATCTGGCAGCTTCGGAAGTTTGACACCACTGGCCTCTGAACACCTCACTCGTGTGCACATATCCACATGCGGATACATACACACATAACTTAATAAACATTTTTTTAAAAAACTGTAAAACTATGATACTACATTCACAACCTGTCTTCCAAGAATTTGATAACATGTTGAGACTATCATTTTAAGTCAGTCGTGTATGCTGTCATTTGTAAAACAGTAATCATTGCATTTATACAAATATACTACTATAATTGATCTCTGTTACCTTTATGGTATTTGTGATCAGAGTCTTTTGTAGCCCCAGCTAGCCTTGACTTGACTATGTTGTAGTCAGACTTTTCTGTCCCACCAACCATTCCCCAAATAACCACAAGGAGACTTAACAATTATAAGTGCTCCCATAGCTTAGGCTGTTTTTAGCTAGGTTTATAACCTAAATGAACCCATTTCCGTTAATCTGTGTGCTGCCCCAGGCTCATTTACCTCCTCTATGTCCTTCCCATCCTGCTCACTCTGGGTCTCATGCCGCCTCCTCTGACTCCTCAGACCCTGCCCTTCTTCCCATCATTCTCTCTGCCCAGAAAATCCTGCCTAGCTATTGGTCAGGCAGCTCTTTGTTAACCAATCAGAGTAATGCATATTCACAGCGAGCAAAAGGAGCGTTCCACAGCACTGACTGTGAACTTCTGATCCTCATGGCTGTACATATCCGGGGTGCTGGGATTCTATAGGTCTGCGGCACTTTGCCCAGCTTGTTCTGCATGCCTTTGTCTATTTCCTTATCATCAAAAGTTGTAGAAGAGTTGCAAACCCTTAAAGGATTTGTGTTGTTTTTCATAAGAGATATGGCACATACTGTGGAATTGTAGCAATGAGAACAGTTCCCTGGGGCAGACGAGATGTCTCAGCTGGTAAGGGCGCTGCTGCAAGCCTGGCAGCCTGCGGTTTATCCTCAGGACCCGTGCGGTGGGAAGAAGACGACTCTCAAAAGTTGTCCTCTGACCCCCACATGCTCATGTAGCACACGGGCCCACATACACACAACATGAATAGGAATGTAATGATAATAATCCCTCGACAGGAGAGATTTCTCAGCAGTTTAGTGTTTCATATATTTTATGGCTTCTTGCTTTATTAATTGGCACACATGATGGATCACCATTGGTTATTTACTGAGATTTTATTAGGTCTCAGGCAAGCACTGTATTCAGCATTTTATTGAATTTTTGTAGCAGTCCTATGAATGACAACTACAGTTGCATGTTGTTCTCATTTATGTATTTAAAACACTTCCATATGAAGAAGGTACCAAGGTCACATAACATATGTGTACTGGGATTTGAAACCAGAACAGTCTGAGCTGTTGTGCCGAGAGACACTAGACCGGTATATACTCCGCAGATGAGTGTACAAGCAGGTGGCGGGGTGTCAGCCGTGCACAAAACCAAACACGTTTAAAGAGAAGCTGGAATTCAGGGGAAGAGTGCTTATATTTTATACTGACTATTTTTGGGGCTGTTGCCAATATTTCTACACCGATTACAGAAAGTTATTCAAAACTGTCCTGAACAGTTAGCTGAACGTTTTACTCTGTTATTAAATCTGGTATTGTATGTATAATACACTACATTAGAAATGTATATTTTAAAAACGTTGAATATTTAATAATTTATGTGCTTGAGTAAAATGTGTTTTTAAAAAAATAGGGTGCTTTCTGAACAGATATAACTTAAAATTTTTCCTTATTGTTGGAAATTGTTGGAATTGCTGATGCTTTTGGTCTTGGTATGTTTGTTTACCAGGTTCAAGTTGTTCCAGCAGTAGACAGAATTTGACCTTGTCACTGAGTTCTACCAAGGACAAAGGATCTCAGTCCTGTAACTACGCTAATGGAGGACTTTTCAGCAAATACTCGGATTCTGCCCAGAGCCTAGCCTCTGTAAGAAAAACATGCTTTCTTCTTCTTCTTATGTTTGTTTAAATATCTCTTACTAGCCTAAGTATTACGATCTGCTGCTCTCAAGAGACAATCTAGTCACGTCTGTTTCCTTTGCTGCTGGCGCACAGTTTCACTGAATGGGTGATACGGTCCATTTGGTCCTTTGGGAATAGCTTTGATTCAGAAGCAGTGCAGGCATCCTTGTGCCGGACTAGATGTGGTGGCTCATGCCTGTAACTCCAGCGCTTGAGTAAGAGGGTCTTCTTGTGTTTCTGAGCTCGCCCTGTACTTTCGGGCTCAAGTCATTTGTTGCCTCAGCCTCCTGAGTAGCTAGACTGCTGCGTCAGAGAGTGTCACTCTGCCCAGGAAAAGGCCTGTGACAGAGCAGGAACAGCTAGACTTGAGACCTGCAGACGTGCAGTTCCGAGAGCTGAACAGCTGTGGCCTCCTCAGCCGTGGGCGTTTCTCAAGTGAGTGTTAAAGCGGCCTCTTAGAAGTAGCTCCAGGGACTTCACTCATCCCTGCACTTGCTCAGCCGACCTACCGTTCTGCAAAAAAAACTTAGATCAGAGCCATGACACAGAAGACAAGAGGGTTTAGGTCTACAAAACCTGAGAAGTGGTGGCAAGGGAGCTGAGAGGAGGACTCAGAAGTGAAGAGGGTGTCCTGAGAAACTCACCTGTAACTCCAGCCCTAGAGGACCTGACATGGCCTCCTGACTTCCTTGGGCACATAACCCCACACAGGCACACGTGCATATACATAATTAAGAGTAAAAAATTTGAAAAAAAATGAAATCTAAAGTTCTGGCAAGAGATGCTTTAGAAATGATGGAATGGAAGGATCGATGGACTTGAAGGAGGAACTGTCACTGGGCAGGATGCTGAACTCATCCTGTGAGCTTGTGATGTCAGCAGAGAAGCAGGCGGAGTCACCAAAGGCACATAGAGATTTGCATTTTGATTTCTTTCCAGAGAACAGAGCTAAACTTAGGGAGTGGGGTCATTTGCATGCAGTGACTGGCCTGGCTGGCACAGTAGGTTTTCCTAGAGAAGGAAGGGGCGTGAGCAGTGACCATGCCCGTCTACATAGGACTCAGCAATGTCTGGACTCCCAAAAGACGGTAAAGGGGTGTCAGTACTGATTTATGTTCAAGATATTAAATATTGTTCTTTTTGTATATTTTTTAACAGCAGGGTCAGAGTAGTTAAGAGTCACATGAGTACTAAATTTGAGTATATTCAGAATTATTTCTTCAGATGAAACTTACCTAAACCATAATTATAAAACATATGTAAATAATTTGTAAATATCTTAGCAGGCTTGGCATGTCCCTAAGGATAATGTTTACCTAGCATGCCTGAAACATGCCTGAAACTCTGGGCTCTTCCTTAGCACTGTATAAAAACCAGGTATAGTGGCTCACACCTGTAATCCCAGCATTTGGGAGGTATAGGCAGAAGGATGAAACATTCAAAGTCATTGGTGGCTATATAGGAGACCGTGTATGTGTGTATGTATGCGCTCCGGCACGTGTGCAAGTGTGTGCATGATGATTCACTTTCTTTGATCTTTATTTCAGATCCAGAGTGTGTGTGTGTGTGTGTGTGTGTGTGTGTGTGTGTGTGTG